TAGCTTCTTGTTACTACTAGTAAGGCACTTGTTACTACTAGCTTCTTAGTAGCGATGCCCTTTGTTCCTAGTGGCTTCTTGTTCCTACCCCAACGGTGACCCTGTTGCTCCGTTTCCTGTGGATTTCTTCACCTTTTGCCGTTCAAAGGTAAGAGCTTTGCACACTCAGCGTGCCAAGTGCCTGGGACGTGTTTAAGGATTTTGAAGCGATTCAAAAAGAAAAGGAGGCCATAGCTTCTAGGCTGGAGGCCATTGCTAGTAGGTTGAAGGCATTGACTTTGTTTAAACATCCCACACGTCTCGCCAGCAGGATGATTTGGATGTTTGCCATCTAGTGGCTCCATGTGGCTCCTTTGCGTCGCGTGTCCCAAAGTGTTTCTCTTTTTTCTCTAGCATTAACAGCAATCGTGGCACCTTGGGACAGCAAATAATATGTCTTAGACTAAGTCCATGCCTTCAACCTGCTAGCGATGGCCTCCAACCCAAGAGGAATGGCCTCTTATCTTAGATGTCTTCTCATGTTAAGTTCCCCAAAAAGATCTAGGAAGCAAATCATTAGTGCGAACGCTTCTTCCAGTAAGCTTCCTCCGCCGCCCTAAAGCTTCCTTGAAGAAGCGTGAGCTATCCTGCATCCATACTAGTAGCTTAGGTAAGCTACTAGCTACCTAGATACCTAGCTACCTAGCTACCTCTACTAGCGGCCTACCCCCACAGGCTTAAACAAAAAGACATGCTTTTGATCGTTTGCAAAGCCGCTTTGCTACGCACGTGCTGCGCCCGACATGGGCCGAGCTCTGAGGACTGCGCTGCAGGCCCTGCGACGCCATCGCCTTTGGGACGAAGCCTTGAGACCTGACCAAACCAGTCCCTTTTGCCACGCTAGTAGTAACAAGTGCCTTACTAGTCTGTTTTTTTAAGTTTTGTTTTTGGGACGAAGCCTTGAGACGTTGTTCTTTTTTGTTTTTTGCTCCTACTAGCGATGCCCGGGTTCCCTAGTGGCGTCCTTTTGTTGCTAGTAGTACGGCCAGGAGCCCCTACTAGCGTC